TGGGCCAAAATAAATCTGATGATGTTCAACAAGGACAAGTGCAGAGTCCTGCACTTAGGACGGAAGAATCCCATGCACCGCTACAGGTTGGGGACCGACTGGCTAAGCAGCAGTTCTGCAGAAAAGGTCCTGGAAATTACAGTGGACGAGAAGCTGGATATGAGTCAGCAGTGTGCCCTCGTTGCCAAGAAGGCCAACAGCATATTGGACTGTATAAGTAGGAGCATTGCCAGCAGATCGAGAGAAGTGATTATTCCCCTCTATTCAGCACTGGTGAGGCCACACCCGGAGTATTGCGTCCAGTTTTTCTCCCCCCTCTACAGAAGGGATGTGGACAAATTGGAAAGAGTCCAGAGGAGGGCAACAAAAATGATTAGGGGGCTGGGGCACATGACTTATGAGGAGAGGCTGAGGGAACTGGGCTCATGTAGTCTGCAGAAGAGAAGAGTGAGGGGGGATTTGATAGCAGCCTTCAACTACCTGAAGGGGGGTTCCAAAGAGGATATAACTAGGCTGTTGTCAGTGGTGGCGGATGACAGAACAAGGAGTAATGGTCTCAAGTTGCAGTGGGGGAGGTCTAGGTTGGATATTAGGAAACACTATTTCACTAGGAGGGTGGTGAAGCACTGGAATGGGTTCCCTTGGGAGGTGGTGGAATCTCCATCCTTAGGGGTTTTTAAGACCCGGCTTGACAAAGCCCTGGCTGGAATGATTTAGTTGGGGTTGGTCCCGCTTTGAGCAGGTGGTAGGACTAGATGACCTCCTTTGGTCTCTTCCAACCCTAATCCTCTATGATTCTATGATTCTATGAAATGCTGGCTCAGAACACTTTCCTCACAGCTCTTCAGAATACAGAAATTAGAAATATAGGACATGTTGAAAGCCGTTTAGGCATTAGTTTAAACAGCTGCTTTACCCTACTGCCTGGATGCGGAGTTCCCTCTGTCTTTTGAGTTTTTCATTACACTCAGGTGCGTTTGTTCCATATCCATATGAGAAGTATTTCCATTCAATAACAGAGACAGAAAGGGTTTCACTATTTTCCCTGGCCCTGAGCAGCTCCAATGAATGGTCTGTGGCTCCTGAAGTCATTCCCTTGGGCCAAACATCGTCTCTTCACACTGGTGTAGTTCGGAATGCTCAGGTCAATGAGCAATCTGATTGGCTTTACTCCGGTTTCCGTTTCACAGCCCCAGTAGCAGTGGGCAGGAGATGTGTCGTTCAGGGCAGGAAGGATGGGAAAGCGAGTCTGGTAATGGTGGCAGTGAGGAAACAGCTCTTGTAAGGTACTGCACAGCAGCTGTCCTTGGACGGCAGTGATGAGAGGCTTCAGCATGGAGATGCTAATTTTAAAAGAGGAAAGTGAAGGGGTAAAGAACCATTGAAAATGAATCCAAAGAGATTTGTTTTGATCTCCATTTTAGTGTAAAGCAGGATCAGGTCTGTTTTTTAAAGAATAATCCTGTTCTTTTTTTGTTTCAGTTAGAGCAGGGGTGAAAATCTGGCCCTCGAGCTCCTGCTGGGAAGCGGGGTCTGGGGCTTGCCCTGCTCCCACACTCCAGTCGGAGAGTGGGGTTGGAGGCCGCTCCACGCGCGCAGGTGAGACTCCCAGCATGTTCCCCCTCTGGCTCCTATGCTTAGGGGCAGCCAGGGGGCTGCGTGCGTTGCCTTCGCCCCAAGCGCCAGCCCCACAGCTCCCATTGGCCAGGAACTGCAGCTAATGGGAACTGTAGGGGTGGCACCTGCGGATGGAGCAGTGTGCAGAACAGCTTGGCCACACCTCCGCATAGGAGCCAAAGGGGGGACATGTCGCTGTTTCCAGGAGCTGCATCATGTAAGCGCCGACTGGAGCCTGCACCCCTGACCTCCTCCCATGCCCCAACCCCCTGCCTCAGCCCTGATCCCTCTCCCACACCCTAACCCCCTGCCCCAGCCCGGAGCCCCCTCCCACACCCTGAACTCCTCATTTCTGGCCCCACCCCAAGGCCTGCACCCCCAGCCAGAGCTCACCCTCCCCCATGCCCCAATCCCCTGCTCCAGCCCTGATCCCCCTCCCACCCTCCGAACTCCTTGGTCCAAGCCTGGAGCACCCACCTACACCCAAATCCTGTATCCCCAGCCCCACCCCAGAGGCCGCACCTCCAGCTGGAGTCCTCCCCCTCACCTGCTCCTGCACCCCAATCCCAATTTCGTGAGCATTCATGGCCCACCATACAATTTCCATACCCAGATGTGGCCCTCGGGCCGAAACCTTTGCCCACCCTTGAGTTAGAGAGTTGTCTGCCCAGTAAACTAACATGTCTTATTCCCGGGTTTCCATGTTGATTTGCTGGAATCATACTGCATGTGACATTAGGGGTTATTCTCATTTTGATTCAGTGGGACTTATACACAAAACTCTCTGTACACTGACATAACACTGTGCCCCCTCGATCAGTAAAGCCTTGAGAGAGTTTAAAAGCTGATACTTCATGTCTGTTGTTGCACTAGAACACCTGATGCAAGCTCGCCCTCTTGGGTTGGTTAGAATCTGGCCTATTATTCCTTAACTTTAGCAAAGCTTTTGATATGGTCTCCCACGGTATTCTTGCCAGCAAGTTAAAGAAGTATGGGATGGATGAATGGACTATAAGGTGGATAGAAAGCTGGCTAGGTCGTCGGGCTCAACGGGTAGTGATCAATGGCTCCATGTCTAGTTGGCAGTCGGTATCAAGCGGAGTGCCCCAAGAGTCAGTCCTGGGGCCGGTTTTGTTCAATATCTTCATTAATGATCTGGAGGATGGCAAGGATTGCACCCTCAGCAAGTTTGTTGATGACATTAAACTGGGAGGAGTGGTAGATACGCTGGAGGGTAGGGATAGAATACAGAGAGACCTAGACAAATTAGAGGATTGGGCCAAAAGAAATCCAATGAGGTTCAACAAGGACAAGTGCAGAGTCCTGCACTTAGGACGGAAGACTCCCATGCACTGCTACAGACTAGGGACCGAATGGCTAGGCAGCAGTTCTGCAGAAAATACAGTGGACGAGAAACTGGATATAAGTCAGCAGTGTGCCCTCGTTGCCATGAAGGCCAACAGCATATTGGACTGTATAAGTAGGAGCATTGCCAGCAGATCGAGAGAAGTGATTATTCCCCTCTATTCAGCACTGATGAGGCCACACCCGGAGTATTGCGTCCAGTTTTTCTCCCCCCTCTACAGAAGGGATGTGGACAAATTGGAAAGAGTCCAGCGGAGGGCAACAAAAATGATTAGGGGGCTGGGGCACATGACTTATGAGGAGAGGCTGAGGGAACTGGGCTCATGTAGTCTGCAGAAGAGAAGAGTGAGGGGGGATTTGATAGCAGCCTTCAACTACCTGAAGGGGGGTTCCAAAGAGGATATAACTAGGCTGTTGTCAGTGGTGGCGGATGACAGAACAAGGAGTAATGGTCTCAAGTTGCAGTAGGGGAGGTTTAGGTTGGATATTAGGAAAAACTTTTTCACTAGGAGGGTGGTGAAGCACTGGAATGGGTTACCTAAGGAGGTGGTGGAATCTTCTTCCTTAGAGGTTTTTAAGGTCAGACTTGACAAAGCCCTGGCTGGGATGATTTATTTGGGGATTGGTCCTGCTTTGAGCAGGGGGTTGGACTAGATGACCTTCTGAGGTCCCTTCCTATGGTACTCTATGATTCTATGATACTCTTTTCCACTGGTTTGTTTAAAAGTTGACAGTTTGCATGCCAAATGCTTCTGATGTTCTTACTTGCCAGCTCTCTGGTAACTGACTGATAGATACCATTTCCAAAACTCCTCTCCGCCTTCCCACCTGTTTTCTTCTGCCTTCAGTGCTTCACCCTCACCACTGCTGATGTCAGACTCCCCTGCACTCCCTCCCTCAGATGTGCTGCAGGAGCCAGGACCTTTAGGATGTTGTTTCACATGCAAATTTAAATGACAATTCCCCCACTTACCTGCGGAGGACTGGACTAATTGATCTAATAGGTCTTTTCCATTTTTGATGTCTATGATTCTGTTAAACTTCCCAGGCCACCCAAGCTCTAGAAGATTATTGAAGGGGGAGTGATACAGGGCACTCCTTCCTGCATAGACAGCAAAATCTCAAAGGGGGCCTTATCAGGATGGAATTTCTCTCTCTTCAATTTTCTTAAATTTGAAGCAATAAAACAGAGCACAAAATGTATTCCAAACGTATTATTCTTCCAAGGTCTCTTTTTAAGGGGCCAGGAAAAGACTCCGAGCACAACAAGGGATATACAGGCTCTGAAATACTTACCTGTTTTGGCTGAAGCCCATGTTTTGCCAACTGCTGGGTGGTTTGTATTGAAAAAGAGACTACTTTAAGAGCTACAATTGGTTTGGCAGCTAGATAAATTTTCCTTTAAATGTGCAGTATCCAAGTCAAGCAAGGGGAACATCCAGTGGGTAATGAACCAAAATGGCCAATTACTGTACATTTTTGAGAGGTATCCCAGGAACTATCCGTGCTTTTTAAATATTGGAATTTGATTGTTATGGACCTGGCAGCATATTTGACACTGCTCAGATATTTTTACAACCATTCTTAGCTAGCAGCAGTCAGTCACAGGGAGTTACAAAGTCTGATCAGCCAAGTTGCAGTTGGAATTGCTTTGCTTTGACACCCTTCTACCTGTGTTGACAGCTCCCTGTTCCGTCCGGGCACGTGATGCTATCTGTGGGCTGGCAGGATCAGGAGAGATCTGCACTGACAAAGTTAAACTATTTCAGTTAGAGACCAAAACTGGGCTTGCTGCTGGTATCGTACTTCAGACCCTGATCAAGCACTTCTGCTAAAGATTTGGGCTTTACTGTATCTACCCAGGCCAAGTCCTTCTGTTAATGTCGTGTTTGCCATGTCTTAACATGGCGTCCTGCTTTGGTTTTTTTATTATAATTTTGTTCTTAATTTTTTTGGTGTGACTTGTTGTATTCTATAACAATAACCTTCTTAGTTCTAATGTCCCTCCTACCCCTCAGCAGTTGACCAAGCTCCACCAGTTGGCTATGCAGCAAACCCCCTTTACTCCCCTTGGACAGACCACCCCCGCTTTCCCTGGTACGTACCCAGATGCCCTTTACAGATTTCCTTCTCTTCTTACCTGTAGAGTTTCTCTCTCTTTCTAAGCTTGTTTTATTTAATGGAAATAAATAGGACAAGTAAAGTGAAGTTGCAAATGTCAATGGTGAAAAGTTAACAAAGATTAGTATTTCAAAGTGGTTTTCCTTATGGCTCAGCTCATTGTAATTGTGCTTGTACAGTCTGCTCTTGGGAAGCCATGTTTATCTGCTTCCTGCTTTGCTAGCTTGAATAGAGGTTAATCCACCTGGGGATAAAACTAATGCTTGTGGGCCCGTTCTAGCACAGAGGAGTGGGTATTCACTGCCATGGGTTGGTATGTCCTTTGGGAGACATCCATGCACTCTGACAGCGCTTCATTTGTTGAGCATTGTCTGCAGATTCAAAAATCTGTAAAGGCTGTGTAAGTTCCTTTCAGCTCTTCCGATTGATCTCAATCACTGTCCAGGATGTTCTCTTCATATGCACAAAGTATCTGTAGAATGTTGACAGAAATGTACCGTACATGAAGCCTCTTTGGTTTGTGCTTCATGAGAAGTGGTGGGAATTAGCCATAGTTTTAGGGGGAAATCCTGTCCTCTGGTGAAGGAGGCCTTTGAAGAAGTATGCTACAATGGAGGACCCCCAGAACTCTAGTTAGGGCTATATGTCTCAAACTTTGCTAGCAGAATTGATCATACAGTTTAAATTTTTCACTGTGAACTAGGGTGGCAGCTATAGAGTAGGGAATTAAAATACTTAAAATACCTTCATTTCACTCGATGGTCAAAATGCCAACTGGAAATTCCTTTTCTGCCATTTTGTCCATCATATTTTGAGCTTCCTAGATGAAGTGACATTGCTTATCTCCTTGAAGGCAAAAGCATTAAATCTGTTTCTTCTTTGCTCTTCAGGAGAAAAGCTGCCCTTACATTCCTCCGAAGAAGCTCAAAATCTGATGGGCCAATCATCAGGTAAAATAAAAGCTACAGGGAAATCTAGTAGGCTTCTGTTGCGATATTTCTTGAATAGGACCCTATCATTGCTGTAATCATACATAAATTGTCTTATTGTGTTGACAAGACAGTACGACTTCCAATGGGCAAGAACTGATGGGGTAGGACAGTACCTGCCATTTTCTTTCTACAGTATGTCCAAGGAAGTGAATAAATTTGCCCGTACTGTACTGTACTTCAATAGTCCACTAATAGTCTCTTGATATGTGTGTATCATTCATGCTAATGGGAATTATGCATGGTCAAGAGAATAACAGAATTATGACCTATATTATTGTATTTGATTTTTATAAAGTTCTCCATGAGATAACAGAAGAATACCCATGGGAGGCATGAGACCGCATTGCTCTGTTAGTGTAGCTTTATTAATCCATCCAAAGTAAGATAGCTTTCTAAGCTATGCAATGCGTTAATATATCTGAGTAAAGTTGTCATTTTGATACATTCCTATTTCAAATTTTCTGCGCTGACAATTGGCTAAGAAGCTAACACATGCCAGCTCAGACTTCCTTTAATAATAATTGTTTATATCTTAAATGCAGTCAGAACAGGGTGTTTTAGCACTTGAGAGTAAATGATAGAAGAAGTTAACCACTTGAAAAATACTGTTGACATTCACATAACTTGACATACCTTTAATTTAAACATACATTTGCAAAATAATCGTTTCATAATATGGCCTAGTGCTAATAAGTTAATGTATTTTCCGGTGAATATTTTATTCTTCATGCCAATGAAAGGAATTTTGGGGATTTTATTGTACTATAATATCTCTTGTTGGGGAATGGAAGTACATCTTATTAAAGCAGTCTGGGTATATTTTATGGGCTATATCCTCAGCCCAGGTAAATCAGCTTAGCTCCAATGAAGCCAATGGAGTCACGTCTGTTTATGTCAGCTGAAGATCTGGCCGCATGTTTAAATCGTAGCCTTACGTATAGTCACGGGTATTTTTAGTAAAAGTCATGGACAGGTCACAGGCAATAAACAAACATTTACGGCCCATGACCTGTCCATGACTTACATTAAAAATATATGTGATTAAATCCTGGGGGGGAGGCTGGGGTTGCACTGGGCCCACTTCTGGGAGGGTGTCTGGGGGGTGTCGGGGGGGGGGGATTCCATGGGGGGGCATCCGGGGCCAGTGGCACCAGCTGTCCAGCCAACGAACTGCGGCTGCTCCAGCTGACTGGCTGCCTGGGGCTGCCGGAGAAGGGGCTGGTGTGTCTATGCCCCGGGCCACTCCAGCAGTGGCTGGTGTGGCTGTCCTGGGGGCCACCTGAGCAGCTGGCCCCGTTGCCAGCTGCTTGGGCAGCCCTGGGGTCAGCCACATTGGCCCCTGAAGAAGTCGCGGAGGTCACGGAAAATTGTGGAATCTGTGACTTCCACAACTTCCATGACAGACATGGATACTGACATAGCGTCCCCTCGCCTCACCCCCACTATACATTTTGTAACTGTGTAACATATTGATTTAGAAAATGTCTCCTGTGGAATTCCAACGGTTACTAAATTGAACCTTATAATGCATGTGAGAACCCCCTGAGAGAGTTCAAGGTAATGCACTCTGGGATTTTCCATCACTGCTGTGTGGTGCACTCTAAGGTGCAAGTAACAGGGACAACCCAGACTCCAGCATATGGGATGTGATAGTTAGGGTGGCACCCAGCAAGGAAGCCAGAAGACCTACTGGACCTTACAATGTTCAATGTGGGAGAGGATGTAGAGATGGGAGCATCAAGGTGAATGAGGAATAGGTTCTAGATAGGCATAGTGAAGAGGGATCCATGGGGTCAGGAGTGGATCAGAACTGGGAGATGGAATGGTGGAGAAGAGGGAATTTGTCCAGACTTGGGCAGAGGCTCCAGTCCCATTTGAGTATGGGCAAATGTTAGGATCAGCTATTATTTCGCCTCTATGATTTGCCCTTCCTATTAAGACTGTGGGGGTGGATTTGTTAACCCAGAAAGGGAGTATAAGTGACAATATGGAGTAATATAAAAGAAGGCTGCATCTATTTCAGTGAGTGTGTTACTACTCTGCAAGCCTGCCTGGTGAGAAGTGCTTTTCACTAAGTCTTGGCATTTAGGAGCCTACTGCTGACCAGTGAAGTCCTTACTCTGCTGTAAAACCAATATTAAACCCAGGGGAGAGCTAGTGGCGACAGTCTCTTGCGCTGGTGTCCCAGCCAAGGGCTATGCTGCTTTGTGCCCACAACAGAGGGCAGGATGGGTGTTCTCGTGGTTAAGGCACGTGATTGGCAATTGGAAGACCTGGCTTGTATTCCCAGCTCTGCCCCTCCCATCTTGTGTCCTTAGACTAGTCCTTTCAGCCAAAATACTCAAACTTGGGGGCCTAAGGTTAGGCAACTAAGTCTATATTTAGATATTTAAATAAGTGCTCAGATTCTCAGAGGTTCTTAACAAATCCCTTGGAAATTTCTGGGACTCATGAGAGCTCATCAGTTCTGTGAAAATCTGGACCCTTTGGTGTCTAACCTCAAGCAGCCAAGTTTGAAAATTGTGGCCTTACCCTTCCTTCAGTTTCTTCTTCTGGGAGATGGGTACAACACTTACCTGGCCTCCTGGGGTGGTCGTGAGGCTATATTCAGTAATATATGGGAAGTGCTATATCTTCTAGCAAAGCAAAGCAATTTGATATAGTTATTTCCAGGAGTAGTCTCCGAAATGCTTATTTAAACTTAAAGCTTTATTTTGTAAAATGTTCATAGATTTCAGTCTTGGTGAGAAGTACTTTGCATCATGTCAACTCTGGCATGCTAAGGAAAATGGCAACACATCACATTTCTTTTAAGAAATTTTCCATATATTCACTCTTCATTGTATTATTAATGCAACGTCAATCTTAATACTGTAAACTATGATTGTTCTGTTTTGAATTCTTAAAACACAATGATACCAACAGAAATGTAGCTTGTTGGTTCCAGGGGTGGTGGAACAATTTGTATAGTGGGGTGCTGAGAGCCACTGAACCAAACTGTAGACCCTGTATATAATGGAAACCACTTCAAGCCAGGTGGTGTGGCAGCCCCCCTTTCCCCCCCCCCGTACCCCTAGTTCCAGCATCTATAATTGAGTCATTCATTTTCTAAATGTACTCTGTTGTTATCAGCAAAATTAGATGGGAAATTCTCTTTAGCAGTACAGAAAACGTTGGTGGAACTGAAGGATAGCAACACTAGATCATTACTTGTATTGTTTATATATTCCTTTTGGAGCAACTTCAAAATACCACAGGACATGCAGCAGCAATTCTGGGGTAATTTCATTTTGTGACTTGCGTGATAAGAGTTCAATAATGCTGCTGTGTTTTTTCATAGTGACACTGTAAGTAACTGGATTCATTGCTGTTAATTGGGGGAAATGATAAAACATGAGGCATTTTAGCAACAGTGAAGGCCATCTGGCCTTAACCTACCTGCCTTTTCTTTTGTTTCATTTTAATCCTATATTCCGTGTGCTTTTTCTTCATGCTCTTAATCCCCTATTTCTCCAGACACAAACCTGGGTGTCTCATTTATATTCTTTGCCTTAAATTCTTTCCCTGGTAGTTTATTCTGTATAATGATTACAGTTTTTGTGAGTAACTGTAAATTCACATTGGCTACCAGACAGCTTCACTCTCCCAGTGCTGCAAATAGGGATATGAATGTCACTATTTCAGCAGTGAGTGAAGATGTAATCATCTTATTTAGAGAAACTATTGGTGACATATGCTTGGTCCTGTACTGAGAACATTATGAAATGCTGATTGATTACATTTCAAGCTGCATAGATTTGTCCCCTGACTCCTCCACTTTCCATATGAATGGAAAGTGTTCTTTATCTCTTTAGGGAAACTGAAAGGAAATAGATGTCTCTATACATATCGCTCACTAGATACCACATGTTTCTATCTGGTTGAATAATGATGCAGGCTCTAAAACTGGATGTCTTGCTTTTCCTATGGTGGAAGAGCACGATGGGTATTGAAGTCAGTGAGTCAGTTCATGTTTCATATTTTGGGTCTTTGAGTGTAAATCTGTGGTGCTTGGACTCCCGGAATTGCATTGCGGACCACAAACGAGTACACATGAAGAACTTCCACTCTCAGCCTGTATTATCTGATGCATTGTGACACAGAATTCCACTTTCAATATCATTCGTAAACCACTGGTGAAGACTGCTGCCAGAAGGACATGCAGACATATGATATCATGTGATGTAGCACTGCCACATGTCCTAACAAAGACCATTCTTGATCTATCTTGTACCTCCTCTCCATGACTGTTTCCTTAAGCATATTCTGCTGTATCATGTGATCAGAGAGGTTTGTAGTGTGTATACTACTTACCCCTTGATGTCATCACCATGATGATAAAGCATTCATCCTACAAGGCATTGACTACCTCTAATATGCTACGGGCCATGTGATTTCTCACTATCCAGTGCTTACTTACAGCCTTCCCCACACAAAATGCATCTCTTATTTCTCATTGGCAGACTTCAAGCAATACAGAATGTTGCTTGCTTAACCTATTTCAGCATTTCCCAGGTGGGTCTGTAATTTTGCACAGTGGTTTGCAGTAATCTAGGGATTGTTCAAGTGTTAAAATTAAGGAAAGGAAGCACGGACCAGCTGGCAATAGCAAGGAGCTCTTCCTCCTTGTTTCTTGGAAGGAAGACAAAGTGATGGGAAGGCACCTACAGTCACGGGCTTTTAGCCTGGAAGCTGTGAACCTCCTAATGAGAACCAACTCGGAGGTTTCAGGGTCCCAGAAGAACAGTGGTAACCAGTTGCAGGAGTGTTGTTAGTAATTTTGTTCCTTGTCATTATACCAGAATGTGTTGTCCACTTACCCTCCTGACCCGGAAGGAGTACGGAACATTTGTAATGTCTGCTATTTTGGTAAAATACCAGGCAATACACAGTGCTTTCTCTGCAAGCTATAATCATTTTCCCTTGCATATGCTCAGGTTTGGATGCCAGTCCCCCGGCCAGTACTCATGAACTCACCATTCCCAATGATGTGAGTATAGCACCTTTGAACTCTCTCTGTACCAGGATATATATGAAAGCGACAAATAAATCAGTTAAATAGCTTTATAGCAGCCGGTTCATTGAGCCCAGCCATGTGGTTTGACAGTATTGTGTCAAAACATTTAGTATGATTACGAGACTTAATGCACAGAATAAAACAAAGAAAGTTAAGAATGGGTCAATCTGGCTCGCCCCTTTTTTTGGTCTTTGCTAGTTTAACATCTATGACTATGTCTTTTCTTTAAAGTGAATTTAATGCTCATGAAATATGCCTGGTTGACAGCTCTAGAGAATGAAGTCGTCTAATATTCCATGACCAGCACAGCAGAAGTAGACACTTTTCATTGTCCCACCAATGCGCCTTAGCCCTGTGGACCTCTGTGATGTAGCTGCCCACTCAATCCTTGTTCTCTCTGCTGAGTGCCAGTTTAATATGTTTAATTTATTGTAAGAAGATCTGGAAAGGGATTAACTATAATTTAATCTTGATTATACAGAGAAAGGGAAATCCCAATTTAGGAAAAAATTGGCAGGTGTGTGGAGGAAGAGTATGAGACGATCGAAGTTCCTCAGCAGGTGCAGGGAAACAGAATGTATATTTTTATAAATATTCATGCAGATTGTCTATGGATGCACGTACCCAGGGTTGTTCTGACAGCATCTGAGCTGTCAAGTGTTACTGGTATGTTAGTATAAAGTAAATGTCAAACTCACATGCTCAAATATTGACAGAAATGAAGCATTTAAGGGCTAGACTCTGCCCCAGCTGAGGCACAAAGCTGTGCCAATGGAAAACCCAAGGATTCCAAGGGGAATTCTCAGGTGGAGCTCCATGGGCATAGCCAGCTCTATGCTACTGGCTCCTCCCACCCGAAAAGTTGAAGAGTGTTAGGGACAGGGATGAAAGAGGCAGAGCACATGGCACTTAATGGATCCTGGTTTCTGTAGGACCACTGCAGGCAGCATATTTTAAAGCAGCCCTGAGGCTGCTCTACATGCCGTCCAGGGCATTTGGGTCCCCAGGCAGCCCAGGGTCAGGGAAGCCAAAAATTCTCAAAGCTTTTCGCACCTTGACAAGCTTCCGCTGTGAGTAGGATGGAGGGTAGCATAGATGACATAGCTAGTCACAGGACACTTATTCCTCTGGTTCACCTCTGGAGAAAGGGGCAAAGAGCGATGTGGCAAATTTGCAGATGATACAAAATTATTCTAGATAGTGAAGTCCAAAGCAGACTATGAAGAGTTACAAAGGGATCTCACAAAACTGGCGACTGAGCGATAAAATGGCACATGAAATTCAGTGTTGATAAGTGCATAGTAATGCACATTGGAAAACATAATCCCAACTATACATATAAAATGATGGGGTCTAAATTAGCTGTTACCACTCAAGAAAAAGATCTTGCAGTCACTGTTGATCATTCTCTGAAAACATCCACTCAGTGTGCAGCGGCAGTCAAAAAAAACTAACAGAACGTTAGGTTCCATTAGGAAAGGGATAGATAAGACAGATAATATCATAATGCCACTATATAAATCTATGGTGCACCCATACCGTGAATATTGCATGCAGTTCTGGTCACACCATCTCAAAAAGGATACATTAGAAATGGAAAAGGTACAGAGAAGAGCAACAAAATGATTTAGGGGTATGGAACAGCTTCCCTATAAGGGGAGATAAACCACCTGAGTCTTTTTAATCTTAGAAAAGAGACAACTAAGGAGGGATATGGTCAAAGTCTACAAAATCGTGAATGGTGGGGCGGAAGTGAACAGGGAAATGTTATTTACCTCTTCACATAACACACAAATTAAATTAATAGGCAGAGGGATTAACACTAACATAAGGCAGTACTTCACACAACGCACAGTCAACCTGCGGAGCTAGTCGTCAGGGGATGTTGTGAAGGCCAAATAACTGGGTTAAAAAAAGAACTGGATAAGTTCATGGAGGATGAGTCCATCGATGGCTATTAGCCAAGATGGTCAGGGACGCAACCCCATGCTCTGGATGTCCCTAAACCTCTAACGGCCAGAAGCTGGGTCTGGATGACAGGGAATAGATCACCCAATAATTTCCTATTTTGTTCATTCCCTCTGAAGCACCTGGCATTGGCCACTGTCAGAAGACAGGATATTGAGCTAGATGGACCCAGTATGGCCGTTCTTATGTTCTTAGAAAAATCCTCTTGGGAAATTAGGTGCTTTCCTGTGCCTTGATTCCCAAAGGTTCAGATAGTTGGGTCATCTCGGTATTGGAAACGTGAATGTAGAGATTGTTAAAGCATTTTTGTGAAGATTGGAGCAACTGTTTGCAGAAGGATCTAGTTTCTGATAAATTATTGCTCTCTGTGAAGGCGATGTACAAACTACTATATATTACTTCAATGACTTGGGACTTGCAATCGCTGGAAACTAAACTTGTTCTCACACAGCTTTTGTCAGACATTGACCGCCTGCTGAATATCTACAGCTGCTTTCTCATCCAGTATGCTAAAATATCTTTTTTTCTTTACCTCTTGGTGTCCAAAATAATTTTGACCAAGAAAATAGAGAAGTCTGTTTGGAAAGCTTTCAAATCCCTTAATTTATCTTCACCCGGAGAAAAGGGGCTCACATGCCCTTCCATAGCGTAAGGCAAATAGCCTAACAACTCTTTTTAGCAGATGTTGAATAGCTTTCCTTGTATTACAGAAGAAATCAGAAGTCAAGGGATCCATGCCCTAGGGTTTGGAAATTCTGTTTGACTAATGATAATTCAATACACTCATGGGCGCTCCTTGTCAGTTGTGTTAGGCAGGGTGGGGAGAGTCAAGGAAGTGCAAGGGAGCGAAGTATTTTCTTTGATCCTAGAAGAAGGTTAATTTCAGAACTGCTCTGCTTATCAAAACATTATTTTAAAATAAAAAAAATCCCCAAATCAGGAGGCTTCCATCTCAATTTGATTCTTTTCAGGTGAAAAACAGGAAATCTTGAGTTGTGGCAGAATAGAGAGTCCAGAAGCAATCAACAAACATTCCCCATCACCTCCTGGGTTTTTGCAAAAGCGTTTAATATACCAGACCTGAATGAAAGAAACACCATTGTCCTTGGTGCTTTATGGCTAGCTGATAACTGTTCTAATATGAAAGCAAGCTACACTTTGCAGCCACATATGCAAAAGACCTCTTTCATGCACACTTCAACTTCACAAGCTTAAAATATCAGCCCTGAAACTTGGTCTCTGAATTAGGGTTCTTTGTTCCTGTAGCACATGTAGATGAGGCCAATCCTGCATTTCTTTTGGATATGTAGCATCCGTCTCCAGTCAGGAGGGAGACAGAACCTTCAAGGGTCTTGACAAATATCCTGGACGAGTAGAACACCTTTAAGGTATTCCTGAGGGACACCAAAACCATCACTTGAGCCCCGGCAGATAAATCTCCATTTCCAGTTTGGGAAGTTTCATCACCAATAGTTCAGATATAGGGAAATTATCACAGGAATTGTAGACGTTCATATGGTGAACATCTGGTGAACAAAACCATGCTTATAAAACAGATAACACAATGGCAGTCTAAGCAAACTGGGCAGTGCAAGACACAAGACCTACCTCACAGGGATGATTCATAACTGTTGTTAATATTTGGATCATTCATAGATTCCAAGGTCAGAAGGGACTGTTATTATCATCTAGTCTGACCTCGTGTATAGCACAGGCCAGAGAACTTCTCCAATTCCTAGGACAGACCTTTGAGAAAAACAGTCTATCTTGATTTTAAAATGGCCTGTGACTGAGAATCCACCACGATCCTCGGTAAGATGTTCCAATGGTTAATTAGCCTCACAGTCAAAACTTTATGCTTTATTTGCAGTCTGAATTTGTCTGGCTTCAGCTTCCAGCCATTGGATCGTGTTAGACCTTTTCTCTGCTAGATTGAAGAGCCCATTATTAAATATTTTCCCCCATGTAGATACGTGTAGACCGTGATCAAGTCACCCCTTAACCTTCTCTTTGTTAAGCTAAATAGATTGAGCTCCTGGAATTTGTCACTAAAAGGAATGTTTCTTAAATTTACATCATTCTTGTGGCTCTTCTCTGAATCCTCTCCAATTTATCATCATCCTTGTTGAATTGTGGACACCAGCACTGAACACAGTATGTCAGCAGTGGTCGCACCAGTGCCAATACAGAGGTAAAGTATCCTCTCTATATCTACTCGAGATTCCCTTGTTTATGCATCCAAGGATTGCATTAGTCCCTTTGGCCACAGCATCACATTGGAAGCTCATGTTCAGCTGATTATCCACCATGACCCCCATATCCTTTTCAGAGTCTCTGCTTCCCAGGATCGTCTCCCATCCTGTAAGTGTGTCCTACATTCTTTGTTCCCAGATGTACACATTGACATTTAGTCATATTAAAACACATAGTGTTTGCTTGTGCCCAGTTTACCAAGCGATCCAGATCGCTCTGTGTCAGTGACCTGTCCTCTTCGTTATTTACCCCTCCCCCATCTTTGTGTCATCTGCAGACTTTATCAGTGATGATTCTATGTTTTCTTCCAGTTGCTTGATAAAGAGGCTAAATAGCACAGGGCCAAGAACTGATCTCTGTGGTATCCCACCGGAAACAGACCCGCTCAATGACTATTTCTCATTTATAGTAACCAGCTTTTAAATCCATTTAATGCATACCATATTAGTTTTATACCAATCAAAATGTCATGTGATACCAAGCCAAATGCCTGACAGAAGCCAGAATATCTTACATTAACACTATTACCTTTATCAACCAAACTTGTTATCGCATAAGAAAAGATATGAGGTTAGTCTGACAGGATCTATTTTCCATAAATCCATGTTGATTTGCATTAATTACAGTCTCCTCCTTTAATTCTTTATTAACCAAGTCCCATATCAGCCACTCCATTATCTCTCACACAATTGATGTCAGGCTGACAGGCCTATAATTACCTGGATCACCCCATTCACCCTTTTAAAATATTG